GGACAGACAATAGCTAGATACAGAAAAGCATTTAAAAACTATTCTGTTAGCTGTACTTAATACCATAAAAAACCTCAAAGAGAAATTGTGGTATTCTATGCGTGTATTAGAGACAAATACATAAAAAATGTATGTACGTAAAATGAAACACCCAAAATTACAGGTAACATTGCTTCAGGCTTTCTTAATTGTGTCTCCAATCAGAGCACTATATCCCTAATCAAGAAAATTACACAGAAGCACTGTAAGTTGTTCAACTACAATTGGTATTGACAGTCCAGAGTTTCCTGACTTAAAAGTCAGGAAAGCTAGCAGCTCACAGCAGCTGGACTGCAAATTTAGAGGATGTGAACTGGATACATCAATGCCTTTTAGGATTCTCAGTATAAGCAGGAATTCAAAGCCAAGTATGAGCAACCTAAAGAAACACTGAACTCTTCCCACTTTTCAAATTACTCAAAAAGTATTTTAAATATTTAAATTTAGGAAAAGTAAAATGAAATTTTGTTGTCCACTGTTGCACTCAATGTAATTTTTTTCCATAATTATTTAATATTCAACAGCTATTGTGATATAAAACTCTTCAGACTCCTTGATAAACTTCCACTTAATGTCTAGGTCAGATCCAGTATGACCAAAGACTTTACAGTTTAACACCTATTTGGTTTCAGTGCTGAGATATGCACTAAGATTTTCACAGGAACTACCATAAATTCAAGTATTTTTAGCAATATTTGCAGAGAAATAAAAAACTGAGCAGGCACTGTGTCTGAGCTTTTGGGGTCCTTTGGTGAGACTGAGACACCAGTGGTGTGAGGAAGGAAGCCTGCTTGGTAGTTCTTTGTGCTTCACATCTTTCTGTGAAGAAAACTCTGGTTTCAAGCTTGTTGTGGCAGAAGCCATTTTCTTGCCAATCCTCTTCAATTCCTCCTCCACAGAAGTGAAGAGGCTATATCTCTGTTTCAGAATGTTTTTGAAACCTCTGCCTATATAACTCTGTTTCAGAATGTTTTTGAAACCTTTGCCTATGTATCTCTGTTTCAGAATGCTTTTGAAACGTCTGCTTAAAAAGCAGTCTGGAAAGCATCCTCTGATGGTGGAACATCAAAAGACCACAGTGCTGTAGGACATGATTTTCTGTGTCTCCCTCAGCCCTTCCCTCCTTCCTGTCCTTTCCTCACTTCACTTTCCTGACATTCACCACTTTTTCCACCAACCCTTTGTGGTGCTACCTTTTCAGCAGTTCCCTTCTGTTCCTCCCCTCTTAGCCTTAGCTGTATTGCCAGAAAACTGCCATTTTGCTCAGTGATAAAAGGCATGGCTTTTGTTGTGAAGGGCCTAGGTTTTTAGAGAGAACAGAAAGCAATAGTTCTGGACGTAATGAGGGGAAAAACAAGAAAAGAGATTTTATGCACTTTGTTAATGCACATTTTACATCACTCCACACTCAGCAATATTGCCTTAAAGTTGATTTAATTCAATTTACATCAGTGCAATTGTTGACATTTGTACTCATCAAAGTGAAGACAGAACTTGCTGCAAGATCCGTTTTTTCATCTTCATTGCATATCTTTTAACATTGCATGTTAAAATCATGTGGCATGTGTCTCAAAGTGGTTTACCAAAAAAGAAACTCTGTATTACATTTTTTTCTACAGTTGATATTCTGTTTCCCCCAAATGCTCATTCCAGCAATATTAGACCTTGTAATTTTATAATTAAAACAGATTTCAACTTTTTAAGGCAGAAAGCTGAAAAAGAACAAACTGTGCTTTTCAAGGAAAAAGACCCTTTAGGCACTAGGATGCCTTATTAGGAAGATCTCAATAAACAAGCATTGCAGTGCTTGATAAAGTGAAATCCAAAAGAAAATGGACTGATTGACTGAAATGAAGTCTTTCCAGACAGCTTACTATAATTAGATTTACAATCATATTATGTCTAGGTTTTCTACAGAGACCTTTGTCTAAACTTCAAAGGATGTCTGGTTCCTTTTAAAGTATTTCTCCTACCTACATATCAAACCTGTCAGAGTGCAGAGAAATACTACATACCCTCCTTTTCTGCTCCAGGCCATAGCATAATTTACTCTGACAAAAAAAAAAAAATCTAATGCTTCTATTAAAGTATATTACAACTGCAGTAATAGCCCACTCCAGGAATATATATGGTGGGACTTGCTGGCATTCCAATAAAACAGAAGTTAAATATCAAGGACTTCTGTGTTACAGCTACCTAAAATAACTTAGAAGGAAAAGCACTGTCTGGTGCAGTGCTATAAAATAAAATGTGCAAGAAAAAGACCTCTTTCACATTTTCAAATCTAGCCAAAGGAATCTATGTCATAATCTTGGCAAGACTGCCCTCATTCGTCATCCATCAGATTCGTGAGAGTTTCAACTAGACATTAGTGAGGAAACAAACTCAGTGTTAAAAGGAACTGTATAAAGCTTTGGGGCAAACAGTATATTATTTGCAATTTAAGGTAATTTTCTAACCAGAATTGGTGCCAAATGCTTTTTGGTAAATTATGCTGTAATTCTTGTACAATAATCCTACTGTTCATCAGGTTTGAAAGTTAAACAGCTATGTCCTGAGGTACTGATTCAATAGAACAATAAAAAAATAAATGCTGTGATAAATACCAAAACATGTTTTGGGCCTGGTTCTTTTTTCCTCTTCTTTCACAAAAATTCATGAAAAACAAGTGAATAAAACTTTCAAGTTTTATAACTTCTGAAGACCTGAAGTTATCCAATACAGTTCTTAATTTAATAAAAAATATTACATTCCCCTGTAAATTACGTCTTACTGGGAAAAAGAGTTCAAATATTCAGCTTAGATTTTATTACGAGTCACAGCAAAATGCAAGAAAAATACAGGTTACAAACAGTTGTTCTTAGTAAAGCCTAATTATAATGAACAGTCGGATCGCCAAAGAAAAACAACTCACACCTGTGGGCAAGGGTGCACTGAGAACTCTGACACCCAACAGAGTTGGGGAACAGAGGAAGAAAAGGATCATTAATTTCTTTCAGAAAGGCAGGGGTATTTGGCTTCTATGTTCACCTTTGATGTTTAATAAGAGATTAAAAACATGGAGTATTTTTAGGTGATTTTTACATTCTCTTTTATTTATGCCATAAAGTGAAAAGCCTGATTGCAAATTTGTATGCTTTCCTTGAGGCCTTCTTATGTACTCTGGAAATTTGGCTGTACATGGCAACCTATCCAGTAAGGTGCCATATGAAATACAAAGAAAATGCTGAGGAATTGTAGGTTTGGGTGGGTTGTTTGTTTGTTTTTGTTTTTGTTTTTTTTCCATCTAAAAGAATTGCCTGCATTCCTTCAGTATTTCCCACCACCAATATCACAACATCACCACCATCACAACAAATGAGACACATGGAGTTTTCAGCCAGGGAGTGAGCAGTCTCTAAGGTAACAGGGACACACAGCTATAGTCAAAATGTCACAAACTTTATTTGACTTAATATACTCCAAACTGATTCCTGTGAGAGGCTCCATGGCTGATTTAGAGGTGGGGGGAAAAAATAACCAAACAAAAACCAAACAGGCACCTGAAATGAAAAGGTGGTGACATTTAATCTTGAAGTCAATAGCTTTGGTATGTTGGCCCTTCAGAACTTTTAAGTGGAGACATACCATCTGTAAATTACATGATGAGTGTAACATGCCATTATTAAAAAGCACAACATGCATTCTCTTTGAATAATAAGCAAACTCAAATGACTAAATGTCAAATGTGACAATTCTGTGGCACTACAGATCTAAAGTGAGATTGCTAAGAGCTCTGGAACATATTCATAATAAAGATGCATTTGCATGTCCTGAAAGTAAAATTTCACGGATTCGCTGCCTTATTACTAAGTGCAGCTGGGCATGTAAACCTTAGAAAAGGGGAGGGGGAGAAGTTTTTGGTGAAAACATAATGGTTTTGAAAGACTTTAACTTGCTAGATGGGGGAAATGGGCCACAACATTACGATAACAACTTGAAGACCTTGCAAGCTAATCCCTCAAACCGTACTAACCCTGGCACATTTATGTGTGCCTTGCTACGTGAGCCCTAAGGAGCTGTGATGGGAGTTGAAGAGCAGTGCCAGAAGGGCAGGGCCTCCAGCCCAGCTGGCTTGGCGAGTGGCTGCAGTTGTTGTGAAGCTCATGGGGCTCATTTCTAAGAGACCGAAACATGAACTGAGCCAACAGGGATTGAAACCAGACATGCAGACATGTCTTCTCCCAGGCAGCCGGAGTCAGGACAAGAGAACGTAGCCTTGAGTGCACCCAGGGGAGGTTTAGGTTGGACATTAGGAAGGATTTCTTCCCAGAAGGGGTGATCAAATACTGGAATGGAATACAATGTCCAGGGAGGTGATCAACACCACCCCTGTGTAAGACGGGATGCAGCGCTTCGTGCCACGGTCTAGTGGACGTGATGGCATTGGGTCTTAGGCGAGATTTGGCTTTTTCAGAGGTCTTTTCCAACCTGTTTGATTCAGTAATACTTCACTTTGGTATTACTTGTCAACTCAGACCTGAACAAGACTAAACGTTCCCTAAAGAACGAGCGCATACCAGATCACATCCTAAAGGCCAAAATATGACGCTTCGGAGCAGATAAAAGCCTCAGGACGCAAAAGAGAAGATACAGCAGCCAGGTTCTGAAAACGGAACGGGCGCTCTCGCGAGCGGGCACCCACCCGGCACGGAGCGGGAATGGAACGCCGGGCCGCTGAGGCGGCGCCGCGCGCGCGACCGCCCTGAGGGCGGGAGCAGCGCGCGCCGTCCCAACGGCTCCAGCGGCGGCTGCGGCGCGCGCGCGCCGGGCACGTCCCCCTTCGCCCAACCGTCGCCCGCTTTAAAGAGCTCTCGCGTGCCGGGCACGCTGGCGCCCCTGCTATTGGCTGGAGCGGCCTGTCAATTGTGTCAGTGCCCGCCCTCCGCGGCCGCTGATTGGCCGGGCGGGTTGAGAGCGAGGGAAACCCCATGCGTGCCCGCGGGGCCGGGCGCATGAGGCGCTGACAGCGCCGGCGGCTGGGCAGCGCTCTGTGGCGTTCGGCTCCCGACGGGACCGCGGGGAGTCATGCCCTGGCCTCGTCTGCCTGGCGACAGTGGTGCGTTCGCGTCCTTGCCGTGCCGTGGGGAGAGGCGGAGGCAGTGCGATGAGGGATGAAGCGGTGTGGAGAAAGTGCGGGTCGGCGGGAGTAGCGCAGAGGGATTCGGGGCGGCGGGGGTGTTGAGTTTTTTCTCTTCCCTTATTGTCCCACATGCAGCCGTGCCTCCTCGCGTCCGTGGCGTTTGTGCCCGGGGCGTGCCCGAGGTTGGCCTGCTTGTGCTTCTGCATGGGCCCCTTGCAGCTCCTCAGGGCCGCTCCGCCCCCTGAGCTGCCGCGGTGCCCGTGTGGTGCCCGCTTGCTGCCCTTGCAGATAACGACGGCAAAGCGAGAAGCAGTTTGCCTCTCCCTCGCTCCAGCTTCGTTGTCATCTCCGTACCGTGTTAGGCCTGAGGCTGCCGAAAGATTTCCTAATTACGGGATCGCTGTGCAGCTTGTAGGCTGTGAAACACAGTAAGTGTAATTCACTTGCTGAAAGGAGATGGGACACCATTTCTAGCAGGTGGGAGCTATGCTGGTTTTGTTTGTGCCTGTGGGGGATTTTTTTTTTTTTTTTTTTTTTTTTTTGGGCGTGCTCTGCCCTGCTGCTTTCTGGAATCTCCTTTTGATGAAGCCAGGAGTTTTGTTAAAAATTTGGCTTTTTTAATGCCCTGTGACAGATACAATTTAAACTTCTTGTGAGTGGTTGCTTGCATGGATTTCTGCCCCAAAGTGAATACTGGTTTGATGAAAAGACAAAAAAATACATCCCCACCAAAAGTCTTTTTTTCCTGGAGTGGGAAAAATAACTCCTAACACTATTCTAATTGAAGGATTTGTGGGGTCTGTTATGTGAAGGCTGTTGGGGAAAAAATGCCCTTAGAAATAGTAATGACATTGATTCAAAGCACATTTGAAATGATAAAGCTGGGGCAGGGTGGGGAGTGAGCTGCAGCCCCATGTCTCAATATCATTGCATAATATCCATAAATGTAGTAGGGGAGCAGGCACTGCATCACTCCATAAATTTGGTCTACAATATATTTAAGAACTTCAATTTTGTTGAGCAAATAGTAGTGGGTTGTCAAGAAATGTTTCTGTGAACTTTAAGCGGTTTTTAATGTTTTTCTTATACTTATAAAAAGTAAACTGCTGATGTCTCAGGACATTGTCTTTTGGAGCCTGAGCCTGAAGACAAAGCTGAAATTGTAAGGGGCACTGAAGAATAAACAGTGGTACCTTTATTTTTCTGGTGATGATTTTTTGGGCAGCATTTCTCAAGAAGTGGCATAGCACTTGGAAATCGCATCTGGACAAAGGGTTGAAGTGATGAAAAAGATTGCTTGCCTAAGCAGATATTGGGGCAGATAATTTTGGGAAAAGAATAAATAAATTGCAGAAGGAAAAAGAGGCAATGAAAGAAACATATGACTTGAGATTTTTTTATTGGCTTGACAAGTAAAATTGGTAATTGCCAAGTGGTGCAATTGTTTTTCATCACCTGGGTGACAGAAACCTAAAGTTGTTGGGTGGGATCTTGGGATGCCAGAGAAATTGGAGATAGGGCAGCAGCAACCGTATTGATAAGGTTTAGTTTTTGAAATTGTGAAAATGGATAAAGCCATGAAAATAGGGATCCCAGGGGTGGGATTATTTCAAACCTTTAGTTTTGCCAGATTGTTCTGACTAATTTTATTTTATATCAGTATTAACAAAATTATTTCTGTTCATGGCTTCTTTGACTTTTTTATAATAACTGGGCTTGGACGTGAGGTGCTCCTCCAGTGTTTTAATACTAAAATACAAATTTGAAATAGTTGGCATTTGCATAAAATGTAGTGATAAGAAAATGGAGCTTGTCACCTGGAGTAGTTTATTGGTGCCTTACACAACTGTGATGACATGGTTTATGAAAGAATTCATTCTTCTACTTGAGGGCAGCATGCTTAAAAATACTTGTGCTACTTATGTTGTGCTAGCTGTGATGGCACTTAAGAGAGGTTGAGTATAGATCATGTCATAATCTATTACAGTACATATTTCTGTAGCTGGGTAAAGTTCCAGATTATCCCAGCTACAGAACGATGGTCTGAAAGCAAGTACACATGTGATAGTGGCTGGATGTAGGATTGAAGCTTCTTGCTAAACAAAGTTTCAGTAAATAGGCAAGTATAGCCTGAGTGGGTTTTTTGGTAGCTTCTGTGTGCACAGAACAACTTAGAATTTGCTGAAATGGAATATTTGCCATATTCTGTTGAAGCTGTTGCAGATATGCATGAGGAGAATAAAGCTGCAGCAAATGGATGTGGCAAGATCCGAAGTGGTGCTCAAAATGGGGCAGCTTTGCTTGCCCTAATGGAGAAGACTGGATACAGCATGGTTCAGCAAAATGGGCAGAGAAAATTTGGTGGTCCTCCACCAGGTAAGCATTTCTTTTGAGACTGAAAATTGGTGTAGCCTCATGTTGTGTATCTTGCCAGTGACCAGTAGTAGAAGCTTAAGGAAACAGTCTGAGAAACACAACACATATAGGGAGAGTCCTGATGTGTTTTACAGTTTCCAGCAATTTAAAATCTCTTGAGCTGGACTGTCTGGAACATTTACTTTAGGTGGACTTAAAAATCACAGCTTTAAAGCCACCTAAAATTGACAGGTAGCACAACAAATGTGGGGTTCACAAAGCCAAGTGTGTTCCATATGACTGAGAATATGCTTCAAAACATTTAGGGACACAGAAGGGAAGAACAAGTTGCTGACAGAGGCCTAACCTGCTTATTGTCTTCTCTTACACCTTATCACTTGCATTGGCCAAAGCTTTTTTTTTGAACTTTTGTTCTCTGAGAGAGCATCAGTGAAGATTAACTCATTTTCTTCCAGAGCTGGCAATAAAATATTTCTTTTATTTTGAATAATTTTTCCAGTGTTGCTGACATTAGCAGTGTACAAGAATTTTGCTATGAAGCCTGGTTGTATGACATGGAATACAGTAACTCTTCTTTCTGAATCAGACTATGCACTTAGACAAGCACAAAGAAGGAAAATTTGTTGTGCTGCTCTTTCAGTTCATTCTCACTTGTGGCCCGTGATCCCATGTCTTCATAAGTTATGCTTATAAGCATGAACTTTATTTACTCATTGCTGTATGGAATTTAAGTTAGAGCTGCATCAAAATTATTTCTCTGGAAGTTTTTCTGTCTTATATTTTGTCTGTGCTTTTACTAAGCCTGTATAAAATAGCAAAAGGAAGCCCTGTGAAACTCTTTTGAAAATGGCACTGGAAAAAGAACTGCAGGGCATCAATAACTTCAGCCTTTTCTCAAATTGTTATACACATTTTACTTAATAATGTCTTTTAATTAGAGCATTAGACAGTATGTTTGTTTAGCAAAGTTAATTTTATTAATATTTTCTGAAACTAGATGGGTTTGACAAGGTTTCTATTCCATCAATCTGTTCATTGATGTTAGGTATATATCTTTTCTTCAAATCTTCATGTATTTTCGTAGGACATTGTAAATAATTTTTTTTTTTACATTGGAAATGACTCTGTGTTACTATAAATGGCTGTAGGCCAGGTGAGGTTTAAATGTTTGAGATGGCATGTAGGAAATTACAGTATCTTTATAAATGAAGGGTTTCACTATGAATTTTCCTTCTTTAAGATGTGATTTCTATAAGCTTGTGTTGCTGTCAAAGGATAATCTCACTGTCAGCCCTGTTTTCAGCAGATGTGGCTGAAAATTGCCCTAAAAATTTGCAGGTTTTTACCTGGTACAGTTCTTGTTTAGTGTATGCTGCTTGTGGAAAATGTATCTGTACAGTGTTCTAAAAAAAGCTGAAAGTGAATTTTTGTAGTTTATGTTTGCTGCCATCTAAGCAGTGGGGCCAGTGATGTCACTAGGCATGTGAGTCAGTGATGTCACTAGCCAGTGATGTCACAAAATGTATCTGTACAGTGTTCTAAAAAAAGCTGAAAGTGAATTTTTGTAGTTTTATGTTTGCTGCCATCTAAGCAGTGGAGCCAGTGATGTCATAGGCATGTGAGTCATTAGAATTACATGGAAGTTTAAGAAGACGTGGACACTAACAGTGGGAGGGTTCTGACTAATGTTGATTGAACTGCTGCAAAAATAGGAGCCCCATTTTCTGTCATCCAGCAATGAATCAAGTACCCAGGCAAGGAAACTAACTGGAATATTTTGACTAACTTTCCATGTGTGCTCTGCTAAGTACATGTCCCTCATGGGCAAATGTGGCACGGACCAGTTTTCTTTAAATCAGGAGGCAGAGGCTAATTCCACTTGGCAGTAATGTGCTGTACTGCTGGGTTAGTATGCAGCTTTAAAATCAGAAGGGGGTGTTTTTGTGTGGGATGTGGCTTTTGCTTATTGAGAATCACTGTTCAAGAAGTTATTGGGCTGACGAGGATGGTAAAAGTTTATTTAGTTAATAAATAAAGAAAGATTGCTTTTTAATTTCATTACTCTTGCACAGTTTTTTCCTCTACTGAGGTGTGGAGTTGCCTTTGTCTTTGGAGCTCCTAAATGGTGTACGGTTGGTTTTTTGTTTTTATGTGGGAAGGGACTGGCATGATATGAGTGATGGCAGTACTAGCCTGGCAATGGTGTTAGCTGCCATGTCCAGTCAGACCTCAGCTCAGGTGGTCAGAGATGATTATAAAGGTGAAAATGATAAAAATGTGGAATGCTGTGTGGAACAGAGTCAAGCTTTTTCCTAGATAAGTCATGGCAGTGTGACTCCAAAATGCATGTCAATTCTGATGACTTGGTAGCTTCCCTGTGTGCCATGTAGTTCTTTCTGTACAGTTTTTAGATGAAAAATGATTTTGTGAGAAGGCAAAAATCTCTCAATTCTGTTAATTTTTTTCAAAAGTAAATTACAGGGTCTCTGACAGTACATTAAGCAAAAAGTGTTAATTACAAAATCATCTAAATATAATTTATTCTTAACTTCAAACCAAAGTACATTATTTAATTATCCTCTTGTCTTAACTTGTCAAGAGTAATTATTTTTTCACCTTGCCTCATTATGCTTTGTCATTTCATACTAGTATAGTTTTTTCCTACCATCTTTGTATTCCTTGCTTTTTCTTCTGTAAAAAACCTTCCTTGTCAAAACCTTTGGAAAAAGCTTTTTGTCATGATTTGAGTGTCTGCCTTTGAACCTTCTGCCTGAGTTGTCTAATTTAAAAAAAGAAACAAAGCCAAACAAACTTTTTAAAAATTATTTTCTTTATTATTTTGGGAGAAGGGAGTGCTGTATTTGAAGACCATAACTCCATAATATTAAATGCATAAATACATCTTTTCAGTATCTGTTGAACATGTCTTTCAGTATATGTGGCAGAGATATGAGAGAATGTTTATATGGCCTTGGCTTAAGGAGAGACACATAGATGTTCTGCAGCTTTCAGATGTCAACCAAAGACTGACTTGTTCTGTGGAATTTTATTTTTTTTCTTCTTTTTTTCCTACCATCCACTACTGCCTGTGAAAACTGTGGTCTGTTTTTGGCTGTTGCAAAGTTTGGCTCTGTATCCTACTCTTCTTAGGGAGTCCTACATCCACTACTGCCTGTGAAAACTGTGGTCTGTTTTTGGCTGTTGCAGAAATTTTGGCTCTATATCCTACTCTTCTTAGGGAGTCCTGTTTTATTGGATGAATGAAAGTGGAAGCAAAATGTTTTTTGGAGGTTTTGAATGGTGTCAAGGAAATAAAAAAAGTGCTGCACTGGGGACCTCAGTGAAATTTATAAAAAATATGGGGGCAAGAAGCTCAGAGAAACATTTTGTAACTTTAAAGCATTGTAGTAGAAAATAAAACTGAAGTTATTACCTAGGTATCTTTCTTAGGTATATCAGTTTTATTAATAACTGAAATAAAATTGTAAGGGGCATAAAATTACTGAAATAGAGACTCTTGGTAAACCTGTTTTTGATAAACAGGTTCAGTGTGTTGTCATACAGTTTCCATTGGAAAAAAGCCCAAGAAGATGGAATTGAAAGAAATGCAAACTGTGGGTTTCTGGCACTTTTAAAAATTTAAACATAAGAGAAACAAGACATAATAGAATGTGCTAGTTTTTAGCTGAGATCAGAAATTAATAACTCCCACATTCAAACTGGGTGTGGGGGAAATGTGCATTTGTACTAAGATTGCTGTTGGACAATTTATTTTAAGGTTGGGAAGGTCCTCCACCACCTCGTGGCTGTGAAGTTTTTGTGGGTAAGATTCCTCGTGATATGTATGAAGATGAGCTAGTTCCTGTTTTTGAGAGAGCTGGGAAGATCTATGAGCTCAGACTGATGATGGAGTTCAGTGGTGAGAACCGAGGCTATGCTTTTGTGATGTACACCACTAAAGAGGAAGCCCAGCTGGCCATCAAGATTCTTAATAATTATGAAATTCGTCCAGGGAAGTTTATTGGTGTCTGCGTAAGCTTGGACAACTGCAGGCTGTTTATTGGAGCAATTCCTAAAGATAAGAAAAAAGAAGAAATACTGAATGAAATGAAAAAAGTTACAGAAGGAGTGGTGGATGTCATTGTTTATCCAAATGCCACTGACAAAACTAAAAATCGTGGCTTTGCCTTTGTGGAATATGAATCTCACAGAGCAGCTGCAATGGCTAGAAGACGACTAATCCCAGGTAAATCTTTGTAATTAAACTGAGTTTTTATGGAGAGTATCTATTTCCATATTGTGGGGGGATGAGATGGTGGATCGTTTCTGTTTTCCATTCTTTAAGGTGTTTTGAGAACTATAAAACTGCAGTATTGCATTTAGGCTAAGGATGATTTTATTTTTTTATGTTTTGTAGTTGGGGGGGGGGTTGGGTTTAAACTTTTTAAGAAGCTGTAATTTAGGTAGTTCTGACAATTAAAGACTAGACATTAGTTTTATGTAATTTAGGTATTTATGCCAATATGTATTTGTATGGGCACACATTCGGTTTTCATTTACACGCACAAGGCTCTGCAATCCAATTTTCTTAAAAGTGAGCTTAGAAAGGATAATGGCTTGAATGTGCCTTGTATTTTCTGTGGGTTATCATGAGTAATGTTATTTTCATCACTATGAAATACATGAATGTTTCATATTTTAAAAAAGGTAGGTCTTTAGTATTTTACTAGAAAATAATTTTGAAAGGAAAAGAAAATAAATATGCAAAAGTATCTACAATATATAAAATATGTAATAAGTATCAATATAATATTTGTAATAATATGTAACATATTCAACATGTAATTGGTATATATTATATATATATGTGCAAAGTGGTGGGTGAAATACCTCCAGATCACTGAATGGAAAATAAATCAGTATGATGGGTTGACATGAGTAACAAAGCAGGTTTGGTTTTGGATTTTTTCTTTTAGTTTGGGTTCTGGCATCTGCTGCAACATAGAGTAAGGGTTGTGCTGGAGCTGTATGTTCAGGTTACTATTTCCAGGTGGTGCCCATGCTTTTTAAAGTGGTAGTGTTATTGAAGAGGCTGTATTTAGTAACTTTTTAAATATGTTACTTTTGGTGTCCTTTTGTGTTTCTCTGTGCATGTCACAGAGTCTTTGTTTTGACAGCTTATGGTGCTTAATGAACCCAAAGGTAACAGAGCACTTGTCATTTTTGCAGAGTCTCATTTACTTCAACAATTTCAAGTAAATTTAGTAGATGTAGGCAACAAAAGCCAGTTTCTAGTGGTATGCATCATGTTTTCTTTTGTAGAAATAGGTGATAAGAATGATTCTGCTTTCCTTTGCATGTTTCTTATTTATGTAACGCTTCTTTGCTGTAGGAACATTCCAGCCCTGGGGTCATACTATTCAAGTAGACTGGGCAGATCCTGAGAAAGTAGTTGATGAAGAAACTATGCAGAGAGTTAAAGTATTGTATGTGAGAAATTTAATGATATCTACTACAGAGGACAAAATTAAAGCCGAATTCAACAAATTCAAGCCAGGAGTAGTTGAACGTGTGAAGAAGTTGAGGGACTATGCTTTTGTTCATTTTTTCCACCGTGAAGATGCAGTTGCTGCTATGTCTATAATGAACGGGAAGTGCATTGATGGAGCCAGCATTGAGGTAACCCTGGCAAAGCCAGTTAACAAAGAAAGTTCTTGGAAGCAACATTTTAATGGTCAGATAAGTCCTAGTTCTGAAAACCTCTTAGGGTTTCCTAACAAAGAAGATGGCACTCAAAAATCCTTGGGGAAACCAGCAAGTCTTTCAGTTCGTCTGAATGGTCAGCACAGTCCAAGCCCTCCTGAAGTTGAAAGAAGTACATATCCCATTTTTCCAGGAATAAAGCTTACTCCAATTAGCATGTATTCTTTAAAGCTGAGTCACTTCAGTTCTGCAGTAATGCATCTGGATTATTTTTGCCATAAAAATAGCTGGGCACCACCAGAATACTGCTTGTATTCAACCACAAGTCAGGATGGGAAAATACTCTTGGTGTACAAGGTGCTTATTTCTAGTATTGCAGATGATTCCCAGAGTTATTTCATGCCAGAAAAACTCTGTACAACAGTAGAAGATGCAAAGGAATTGGCAGCACAGTTCACACTTTTACATCTAGGTAAGCATAAGTATTTTTGATTATATATGAAGAGCTGGAGCTAGAAAAGTTACTTTTAAATGGTTTTTGGTATACATATCTTGGTGCACGTGTGTGTTTTGTATAAAGTAGTCTATAGAAGACTTGGTTCTTGTGTCAGTTGAGTCTGGACCATTAGATGAGAGCACTGAGAAAACACTGTAAGTACCTAAACAGTCCCATGCCAGGGTAATTTTTGCTTACATTTATCTACTGGAATGGAGGAATAAGATGAAGAATTAGACAACATGAAAGTAACTTAGGTTTAAGGTCATCTGTGAGATGATTCCGGTGCTGAAAATGTATTTGAAAATCTGTGTTCTAGCATCTTCATTTATATATATTGCATTTTTAAAAAAATCAGAATGCACCTACTAGAAGAGGAAAGTTTTTATATTATAAAATTGGGGGGGTGGGGGTTGTTTTTTTCCCTCACCTGTTCTAATTTTGGTGAATTGGAAAAGTGATTGCAGTACGCTGTTAAAATAGTGTTACCATTCTTCTCTTCCTAATACTGCTACTTAGCACTTGTTCTTGAGATGTATGTAGGCTGTGGTGAGGTTTCTCCTTTGGATGACTTCATAGCAGACTTATTTCAGGGTTGACTGTGATACCTTTTTTTTTTTTCTTCAATGCATGACTAAAATGTAAACAAGCTTTTTCTTCTTCCTTACATTTTTTGTTGTCCTTGGGTTTGGATTTAGCATGGCCAAAAGGTCTTAGAGGAAGAAGAACCTGTAAAGCACAAAGCCTTATACATTGTGTCCACTTCAGCAGAGGCGTGCTGGGTTTACATTAGTGGGACACCTCCATAAGGTGATGCTTTCAGATGGCCAAAGTGATTTTGAATGATAAATGGCTAAGTATCTATGTCTGGTTTTGTACACACAGCATTTGACTAGTTGAGTGTCTGTTTCCATATTTTTCTAGCTAGGAAAATTAGGGCCATACCTTTATAACCCATGTAATCCTAAACACAAAGATAAACAGGGTACTAAACTCAAAATAGTGTTGTGAGGCTCTTCTTAAAAGAAGAATAAAGACAGTTGCAGGTTTTGTGCTTGACCATATGTACCTGCCCAGTTTGCTTCTTTTGTTACCTAAAGTTATTTTCTCTCCTGTACTTCTCTGGGAAAGAATCAAGGGAACAATTAAAGTTAGATTAAGAGTGATTATTCACAGCTGTGGGCAAATCCTGAATGCAGACTATTTAAAAAAAATGAAGAAAGTATGTGTTGAGATTTTTATCTCCTCAGTTATAATTAAAAATGCTGTAGGGAAATGTGTTAAAGTGGATTTAAATTAATAGTATTCTAAAGCTTTTAGTATTCTAGAGCTTTTTAGCACTTGATTGTGCCATACAATCACAGTTAATGTGAATTGGTATTTAGCAGTATTCCCAAATACCAGGTTTGCTTTTTACAGCTGTCTACCTATTGGCCTAGTGCTAGTAATGCTGTCTTGTTATCTTTGAATAACACTTTTTTTCTTTTTTTCTTTTTTTTTATGGCCTCTGTGTATTCTGGTTTGTGAGGACTTGGGCCTGCAGAGAGCATACAGAGCTCTGATTTGAAGCAAAAGTACAGGGCTGACTTCTGAAAGATACACATCTTTCATATTGATCAAAAAAACCCTTTTTGATGTTGGCATTGTTGTGATGCTGAAACATAGCCTTAGGGAGTCTAAAAGTACAATTTCTTTTCCCTGTCTAATCTAAAGAAGTTGTTTCTGTTCCAGTTCAGCAAATATTCTGTGTTGAAAGAAATATCTGCAGGTAAAGAGAAGTTGTTAGATGTGACAGAGTCCTTCCTTCTCATGGAAGTGTTGAGTGATGCTGATGCTGCTGATCGATATTGTGGTTTTTCTTTGGGGTTTGGGAGCTTTGGGTTTTTGGTTTTTTTTTTTGATAACTGGCTGTGATTTGAGAGAAGTCTGAGTGTGTTTCTTGGAAGCAACTTTATAATAAACATGAGTGTACAAAGATGATGTAGGGACTAATTCCTTCTGGTAAGTAACTTCTCTTACAGAAACCTAGGTTTTTGGCCACTTAATTTTTGATGATGTGTACAGGTTGGGTTTTGCTGTTAGTTTTCTTTTTAAAGCATATAGCTGTTCTAAGGTAAGTAAATGAGAAAGGGCTGCTTTGATTAATAATCTCAAGGCATTCTGGATTTCTTTTTACTTTTGTGGTATGTATTTCTGTCTTTTCTTTCACACATTACAGAATACTTGATTTTTACAGAAGTTTATATAGTACTGGCACACAGCAGTCCTGAGCAGATTGCAGTACAACAACTAACCACTTGGTGTCACCTGAATATTTTGAAAATGATGGTTTTTAGAAAACACGGAAAACTATGCTGTCTGGGAAGGATTAATAAGCTATATTTTAATGTTACTAGATAAATCAGATTACCAACAGATCAAGGGAGTGAACACTCAGCCTTGGCTAAATGTGTGAAAATCATGTTTGGGTGTCCATTTATGAGAAAGGGAGCAGAGCTGCATGTTGAAATTTCAGGAGGTAAATGTTGTCAGGGGCAGGGAGGAGTGGGGAGATAGGGGAAGGAATAGGAAAACACCTGAATGTCCTGTAGAAGAATTAATACTTCTACCATTACCTATTTCTAGTCCTTAAGCAAGTCCTTAGAAAAGGCTGAGTCTTGGGAAATTCCCTACTGAATTTGACTTAAGGGTGATGGGGAAAAATGGGAGAAGTTTCAGCCAGGTTTTCAATGGGTGTTCCACTGTAGAGTGTTCTTTGCACTTTCACACATGCTATTTCATGCTGCATCTCCCTGAGACACAATTTATGGAATTATTTTTCTAGGTAGAGGAGAATATTTTCAAGTATATATAAGAAAAATTTACTGATAAATCTGCAAGTAAAAGCCTTTTAATAACTAACTATAGCACATAAATAATAGTTTCCTTCCAGTTCCCCTCATATAAGTTTTATAGTAAATGGTACTTAAATAGCACATAAATAATAGTTTCCTTCCAGTTCCCCTAAGTTTTATAGTAAATGGTACTTAACTAGGTGGAGCAAGCATTGTATCTTACTACTATGAATTCACTTGTTTAAACCTATTAAATACTGCATGCAGTAGTAATTTACAAGTCATGGATAAAAAATTCATAAGCTAGTTCAAGAGTCTGTATTTAGCATCTGTGTCTCAGAACAGATGTATCTCCAGATTGCTCTTCTAGATTTTGGACATCGAACCTAAAGATCAAGTGAGATGGTTTTCGTGTTTTGTTGTAGGAATTTTCTTTAATTAAACATTGCCTTGGTTTACTTTATCAAAGTTAATTATATTGCTCTTGGAACAATCAATAGCCACAAATTGTAGGATGTTTGAAAAAAATGCAGAAGTTACTGGCTTTGTGTAGCAAATACAGATGATAAGGGGTAATTAATGGTTTGGAGCTTTTTAGTGATCTTTAGAAAGGCTCAGACTGTAGTATAAGAAGTTTTTTAACAGTATGAATTGAGAAGTCTCAAATAATTATCAGATGACTTACACCTAATGGTTTTTCTTACAGCTCCTGAGCAAGCATATATAACATTGCTGTCCCTGAATGCAGCATGGTGGGATAGTAAAGGTGAGTAAACCTCTCAGGATTGTTCACTGTGGCTTTTTGCCCTCTCAGTGGCATTGTCTCAGCTGCACTGTTTGTTAGAGAAGTTGTACTTTCCTCACAGACACAGCCCTAAGGTGGCTTGTAGAGATTCTCTGTTGCTTTTTCCAAAGGAGACCATACATATCTCTACTGCCTCTAGCTGCTGATGGATCACACAGTCTGATGTTCTTGGATTCTCTGTTGCTTTTTCCAAAGGAGACCATACATATCTCTACTGCCCTCTAGCTGCTGATGGATCACACAGTCTCATGTTCTTGGCTGTGCAGCACAAAGGAAGATTATGGTTTTTATTCCTAAAATGACTCTTGAGTTATTTTTCAGTCATTTCTTAATTATTTGCCTTTCCAGCTTGGGTTTAAATTTGTGTACGAAAGTGGGAGCTCTTACTACTCTGGATGCTTGAAGGACTGTTTTTTGGGTAGTCAGAAAAAAGAGACTGTTGTCTCCTCTGACTTTTTTTTTTTTTTGGAATATGCTATTGTGGATATAAGTGTGAATTGCTATTGTGAATTTAAGTGTGTATATCTGTCACTTCTGAGGCCTCCCTGTTTTATTTTGGAGTGGCTTGAGAATGGTTTTTGAAAGCTTACAAAGCAGTTTGAAAATGGCATTAAATCCATGCTCTTTTGTTAACTTTACTGCTGGAAGCTTCTAATCCCAGGCACACAGAACATTTCCTAAAGGTTCAGTTATTTTTCAGCTGCTGCTAACGAACAGGGAACACAGATTTTGTAAATCTTGGTCTGTGTAAGGGAACTTAAAAAAGAATAAGTTAGACAGATACAACAACACTGGGCTGACTTTACCTGTGAAATAACTTGTCTGCCTTCCCTAGAGTCAGTCACTTCAAAGCAGGATACAATTAACATGTTTTCTTCTACTCCACTGATGATCACAGTGAGGTTGAGTTTTGTCTATGCAGTGTACATACATCAGGCAGAACTTGGTGCTTAGTTGAGTGTAGACTCTGATCTAAAGTGGTAAATATGCAATATGAGTGACTGCTGCTATGGTATGTATAATGGATGTAGCTAATACAGCTCAGAACAATGACCTAAAATGCACTTGAGAGTTGTCTGCATTAATATTTTGCATTCAGTGAAGGTGAAACAAAGGGTTTTTATTTTGAAGTACAGTTAAAAATGTTCTGTGTGTGTATATATATGATGAGAGAATGCATTCAGTACTGAAGAATGGGGTGTCTTAAAACTATAAAGCTCTCAAGAAAAAAACCCCTTTGAGCATTTGACTAAACAGTTTCTTAATTATTTGGAGTTAGTGCTGCAGAGGAAAGGGAAGAACACAGCATTGGTATAAGACTCTGAATGTTTTTGTTACACTATTATCTTAACTATTAAGTCATATTAACGTACGCAGTATGTTTGCTGAAATCAAAGTCTCTTTCTTTCCCCTCTCTTTCCACAGCCAACTGTACACCCTACATGGTTTGAATATCCCTGAAGAAGAGAAGTTTGGAATTTATTGCTTTGGATCTTGTAATGAAAAGAAAAGGAACACCCCACTGATACATAATTACTGGAAATTCACATTCCATGTTTATTGATGAATAATTCTTCAAAGCATGTGTATTAAGCATTTCAATTTAAAGATTAGTGAAATTGAATGTTAAATTGTTTTGGTTAGTTTGATTAAATTTGGGTTTTGAAATATAATTTGTTTAAAAGATTTTTATTACCTGTAATAGTCTATACAGCAGTAATTTATATTTAGTGTTGAAACAATTTGCCACAATTCCTATTCTTGTATTTTCACACAGAATTTTTTCAGCTTCTATTGTATGTAATAAATCTTAAACAAATGTTAAGAAATCCCACCAACAAAACAATGAACACCATTCTAGCAATCATAAACATGCATAATATGAGACTTAAATACCATCTGCAAGTTTGCTTCCATTAACTTGATGCAAAATTTTATAGGAAGAACATGTCCAATAAAATCTTTGCTTCTGATCTAGCAGTGCACCAATGGAAAACTGGTATTTTGAAGGACTCTACATGAATGTACCACCAGGCTACATTGCTGTAGTCATAACACAAAACAAATTGAGGTTCAATACCTTAGTTAATTCTTGGAGACAGAAACAGGCACTTGGAGACAGAAGCAGGCAAAAAAAATCTTGACAGATACAGATTACATGTGCTTTAATGTACAGCTCCCTAGGTTGTGTTTCCTGTTGTTAGCACCTCCCTGTTGGGACAAACGTGTGCTTTAATATTCATAAAGGCCTTACTTTTATCCAGGCTGTCCCTTGAAACCAGCACCTGTGCTTGCCTGTGGTAGCCATGTGGAACAGCAGCTTGCTCACTTTCTAATCAGGCCGTGTTCTCCTTAAAAAACATTGTTTAGCATTAAACTGAAAATAGTTTTTGATTTTTAAAATCAGATATATGTAATTCATTTTGAGTGAGCCATCTTTATTTTTATTGTGACTATTTGGCATTTCTCAGTCAAGTGCTTTATTTATTGAATGACAAAATAAACCAACCTTTTTTTAACCTTCTTAACAATCTGAAACTAATACTGTAGACCAGACTTATTTTTGGAATTTTATACATCGTTTCAGTTCAATTGACAAGGAATGGACCAGGTGGTTAAAATGTCTAAGGGCCTTATCTATGCAAGTATTGTTTGTAAGCTGTTGTATCTGAAAATTGTTTGTCAGAAAGGAATATTATGTAGACAGAAAACAATGCAATGGAAAGACTTCGAGTTGAAAATTTTTTCTTAAAAGCAATCAACTGTTGTGGTCCACTATGTATTTTGGTTCAGTGTATTTCATCACCATATTAAATTGTCCTTTTGCTGTTAATTTAGGTGCAGTTACAGCAGTTTCATTTTATTTGCATTTGATATTAGCTACATAATAATTCTTTTACATGTTGCAATTTTTAATGTTGAAATAATGTGTTTGACTTCTGTACACGAATTAACATTTATATTAAATTTATGCTGTTCATACTTGGTGTGTGTAAAAGAAAAATAAATTATTATTTTAGACATGGTACTTTCACAAACTTACTTTGCAGGATTCACTTTGCTTTCTGTAATAACAAGCTTTGGCCAGAGCTCCAGTGCTCTGCTGAAGAAAACTCAGTGATTAAGGGGCTGAGTGAAGACTTAAGAAAAGTAATTCTTGGAAGGCAAGTTATTTGATTAGCTTTTATTGCAAGTGAAAGTTGTTAAAAGGTTAGGATTTCCTAAAACACTTATGAGGAAAGGGAACAGGGAACTTGTTTAATCCACGTTTAAACCAAGTGGCTCCTAAGGTCAAGACAAAAATCAGTTTGAAGTAGAATGATACAGTATAAGGCTGATAAGACACAGGATTGGTAATTTAAAGGATTTTCCTGGCAGCCTGAGAATTCTAGTCTACAGACTACTGAAATAAGTTCAATTTTATTTTTCAAGTGTCTTGATGAAGACTTAGGTTTTTGCATTTCTGATGGAAATCTGGACCCAGCAAACCGAGGTAAAATTGGTATTGTTAGCTAATTAAGGTAGCTATGGACCAAGGTGCACAAAGATTGCATAACAGTGGAGTGAATACCAGAGGAAGAGATGCAAACAAAAGTATCTCAGTTGACAGAAGGAGGTCCTGCCCAGTACTGTAGAAAGTCGGGATTGCATTTTTCAGGTGTGTAACATCCTTCTTGATCAGATTTCCAACTGAGGCAAAAAAAAAAAACAAACCAGTTTTGCTACAAACTAGCGAATCCCATTATTATTAACATGAGCATTTCTCTTGGCAGCTATTTTCAGTATTGCCAACATGTGTGACCGTACTGAACCACTATCAAGCATTTGAGTGTAATGAGTACTAGGTTGATGCCAGCCAAATACAACCCTCAGGCAGAATTTGTCTTTGTTCTACAGCTAAGAACAGTGGTGTAAGAAATAAGCAGCTGAAGCAGCAGTAGCACACAGTTGCTGTAATTCAGGCTTTTTGAAGTTTATATAGAATACATCATTAGAAATCTCTAATCAGTGTGCAAAACAGCAAACATATTTTTCATGTTTATAAAAATCTCACTGGAGCTTATTAACCTCTGGAAAATAAACCACCATGTATTTCTTCTGAAAAGGTTGTGACAGAACACAGTTGCCTTTTTTTTTCGCATACTTTTGTATAATGTAAAAAGTAAATTGGTGTATGACCCTGTTCTGTAACTGGTGTAGAAACTAAAAGGCCCTCTGAAAGTAGAGGTCAGTGACTGGTGAAGCAAAGTTGTTACATTGAGCTACACCCACTGCATCAAAAAACTTGCCCTAAATAAGGAAAGGAGGTCGTTATTCTTACAGTTACCATTTTATTCTATTTGCCCTTTTTTTTTATTCCTTCTCCCTCTAACATTATTACTATCTTGTCTGGGATGGGGGAACCAAAGTTAGCATCCTAGATAACAAAGAACAAGAGTTAGTAAATAAATGGAAATTTAAAAATATTAAATTTTTAAATTTAATAATTTTCACCTGGAAGATTCTGGGTTAGTGCACATTCTTGAGGTAAAAGCCATCCCCAAGAAGTCAGTTGTTCTAAGTCCTCTCTTTCAACAAATTTCTTGACAGCAATTGCCATGTATAACAAAGAATGATCAGTTTATCATCTCTTCATACTGTTTAGTGTCCATGTTAGACCAGGGGAGAGAAAACAGGTAATGATCCAGCAGTCTTAAACACAGCTTTGCTGCATTTACAGGCTGGACAGGCCGCAAACAGGCAGGCAAAGGAAGGGCTTAAAGCAGTCATGGGGAGCTCCTTTCTCTACCAGAGTTGTTCACCCTACTAACGAGGAGCCCCCATGGCAGAAATCGTTCCAAGCTGTCTGTGGCTAACTTTAAGAGACAGAAGGAGTTAAATGGCTGAATCAAAGACTGCATCAGTAACCCTTAGCCTCCTCAGGAGCCAGGCCCTTCCTGCCGTGAAAGGAGTGCTCAAGCCACTGGGATGGCACCTGCTATGAGGTATGGCAGCAGCCATTTGGGACCCAGATGGCACAAGCCTTTTCCAAAGATACAGATGCTGCACAACCACCATGGAAAAGGATTTAACAATGCAACTGCTGTCAAATAAGGTTGAATTTTTAGAATTTTATAATACAAATAGCTGCTCATGGGAATGGGAAAAAAATTCTTAGGTACTGCTTGAAGGTGGGTGAAATTTCAAGAATTATAAGAACACAAATATCTTCTGTAAGATCCTGCTCCAGGCTTTGAGCATTTTTTTTACACTGCCAGAGGCTGTGACTGCTGTCAGCTTAAAGCTTCCTGCAGAGGGAAGTATTCACTAGTATATGAAAACAAAATTCTTGAAAATACTGGTCGCTGCAGTGGCCAGGCGTTTCTGTCTCTGCTCTACAGATTTGACAGCAAGGGAGGAGAAGAAAAATTTTCCCCATTTCCCAGTACCTTTTCACAGGTATTAGTATTTGCAGCACATTCCTAGGGAAGACAAGAGTCGGAGGGTGGATTCAGACACTCTCTTGTTTGTAGGTACCTAATTTAACATTGGCAACTTCAGCATAATTAAGGAAGAATAGCTTCTCTTGGGAAAGGGCAGGAAGTTGTCACAATCTTCCAGGAATTAAGTAGTTCTGACTGAGGAGGAGATGTTTCAGAAACTTCAATAGCAAAGAAGACCCTGGGTGCAAGCAAAAAACAGCAAACCATCTTGGGATCTCTACAGCATGACAACAGATTTGGAGGACCATACAAAAAAGTCTAAATGCCAAACTCCAGGAGGTCATATTCTTCAGGGAATCCATAATGTTTGGGTTTTAATGTGCTGCTTTTATGCCAGAGACAGAGGTAGGTCAGAAAATGTTTAACAGCTGGTTTGTAGCAGTAGCTTTGTAAGGAGGGGTGGTGAGCAGCTTTCACTCTCTTAGGGTGAAAACAATGATCATAGGAACACCGATGAAAGGGTTTGTTTCTTTCTTTAAAGTAGACAGAAATGTAAAAAAGGCAACCCCCACATCCTACAAAACCTCACCTCAGCTATCTAAAGCAATATTCATGAGAGAAAACTACCTGAACATTCTTAAAGGCATGTATTTTGATGAAACTTTCACTACATATTTTTCCTATTAAAAATCTGTACAGTTTTCACCTATTTTATCCATTCATCCTAGTCAAGAATTTAAGCTGTGGAAGCAGTAGATGATGGCCAGAGGACACAGTGGCATCACCCAGTTTGTCCAGCACTCCAAACACCTCCTCCCATTTCACATAGGCCCGGAGCAAGCTCAGTAACAGCTGATGAAAGCACAGCTTCCAGAAAGGCATCAAAGCCCACAAGGAGTTAAATATTGCAATATAAATTGGATCAGGCTTGAACAGGCACAGTACTTTACTGCAAAAATACTTGATTTCTCCAGCATTCAGAGGTATTTCCTAGGCTCTTCATACCCACTCTGGCTTTGAGCTTAAAAATGTTTCCAACACATCTCTTGGTACCAGTAGCTCTTCATAGTGCCAATAGCTATCAGCTGTTATTTTCCATCTTTTCACCACTACATGTGGTACTTAAATTTTATATAAGTAACTAGTGAATAACTGAATAACACTATAGGGGGACTCAAGCAAGCCATGGAGCAGATGGAGTTCAGCTCTGTTTAGCTCTGCTGAGCCTGTGCAGCAGAGTTCACAAGCTGGTGCTGGTGAGAGCTGGGTGTTAGCAGAGCTTGTTCCCCTGATTTTGATTTCTCTCACCTGAAGGAGGGATGTGGCCTCCAGTTTACAGGACCTCAGGGGCTGAGCTGCTGATGGAAACACTGGTCTCAGGTTTCTGAGAGGAATGAAGCCAGGTGCTCTTACTGGAAATTTCAGGATAAATGTGGATACAGGCATTCACTGGACAATGTCTGGCTGCATGAGAAAGTCATCGGGACAAATATGTGTATTAAAAAATATCTAAGAATACTAAATATTTTCATCCTAATGCAGAAGAGGAATTCTTTAAGAGCTCAGATATTGTCATTTGTATAAACAATTCTTATTTAGGCTCTTCTAATGCTAGGGGCTGAGAGCAGTGTGAGTTAGGGCAGGCATTTAGTGAGCCCTCAAATGCCTCTGTACACA